GGGAATTTTCTTTTTGAGAAGTCGCAAGAGGGGTTCAGCTAAAACACTGAAATTTGGGATCAATCTGCGGTAATACGAAAGTGCGCCGTAAAATCTTTTGATTTCCGTACAATTTTTGGGACGAGGAAGGTTCAAAATTGAAGCGGTTTTGTCTGGATCGGTGTGCAAACCAAATTCATCAAGCACGTAGCCTAAAATTTTAATTGATTTTCTGAGAAATCTACACTTCTCCCAATTTGGAGTTAAATTGGCTTCTTTGAGTAAACGAAATAATTCAATTAACACCTTAATGTGTAATTTGAAAGTAGGGGTTGCAACAAAACAATCATCAATATAAATCCTTATGTACTTTCTAATCCAAGATTTCGCAACAACAAAATCAATTGCTCGCATGAAACCTGGACCTGAATTTTTAGCTCCAAAAGGGATTACTTTGAAACAAAACTGACCTCTTTCAGGTATGAAAAATGCTGTTTTTAATCTACTCTCAGAATCTAATGGAATTTGCCAATATGATTTTTTCAAATCAATTGAACTCAAAAATTTTACATCACCTAATCCATCCAAAATGCTTGTCAAAATTGGGACTGCATACGCGTCGCTCACTGTTACTTTATTTACTTCACGCATGTCCACAACAAATCGCGGCTCTTTACCTTTACTTTCGCCATTAACGAGAAATACTGGACTCGACCAAGGACTTATGCACGGTTCAATTACATCTAACTCTAACATTTTGTCAAGCTCTGCGTGCATTATTTTTAATTGAGCAGGTTGAATATAAAACTGTTTGGTTTTCACTGGTTTTGCATCGCCAGTATCAATTTTATGCTCCATTACATTTGTGCGACCTAAGCCTTTGGGAAAATTGCTCTTAACTTCGGCGATCGTTTTCGCGAGAATTTCTTTCTCCTCCGCGCTAAGTTTGTCACCATCCGCCGTTAGAGAATAAATTTTCGGAATCTCATGCGCCACATCAGAGGAAAAGAACCATTCACCCCGTGAAACATCGGGAACAAATCCGGTTTTTAACCAAAAATTTAATCCAAGAATTAAACTCTGCTCTACCGCGGGCACTACTAAACAATTTACTACAAAAGTTTGTCCTTCAATACAAATTGGCAAATCAATTTCTCCAATTACTGGTTTTTTGGAATTATCTGCTAATTCAACATTGGCAATATTCGATTTTTGCAATTTTAATCTCAATTTGTCAATTAAACGCTTGCCTGGACTACCTAAAATACAAGCAGATGCACCTGAATCCAAAAGTGCAACAGAAGAAATATCAAATATTTTTACTTCAAGAAAAATCCGATCGTCATCTGAGATTGCTTTTTGATTTTCTGAAGACTCTGATTTTTCTCTTGCGCTTTTTGATTTTGTATTTTCGTGCTTATATTTGAGCAAAATGCCACCAAGTTTGCGTCTAATTACATCGGTCCTAATCTTATTCACGTGTCGTTTCCAATCGCTACCTGAACGTGAACATTTTTGTCTCGCCGTGTTAATCAAATGAACTCGAGCAAAGCAATGAGACTTTCGTCCTCTGCGACGGAAACTCTCATTTTTGCAATCTACATTTGAAACGCCTTGCGTGCCGCAGCCGATGCAAAACGTATTGCACACTCGCACAGTGCATTGACGATAATGATGTCCGACACGACGGCAATTCCAACAAGTACGCGCTAAAATAGCTGGGTCAATTTTCGCACTTCCGCAATTCTCGCATTGATCAGGGGAATGATGAGAATTTTTGGCGTCTGGAAAATCGCTAGCGACAGTGTGTGCATCCAAGTGCGGATCACAAATAAGCGTCGGCGGGGTGCCGTGCGGCTCATTTGGCTCACGCGCTGGTGCGCTCCTCTCGCTACCATTTTCAATCAAATCCAAAATTTCTGACTGATTATCATCTTTATAAACTAGTCCTGGCTCAACGGGATCGTCTGGAGGGACGGGATCGCGATAGCTATGAATCAAATCAAATATGCTCTCTAATTTTAGCGACTCGTTAATCAGCGACTCGATTGAATCGATACTTGACCACGGTAAATTTGACAGCCAAATTGGGTGCAAACGAGCTCTGATAAACAGAAATTTGTCTCGCTCACTGGGCTGCACATCGAGCAAACTGAACATAAATTGCATGTTGGCAATATAAATATTCACTCGCTCTTTGGGACCCTGAGAACGTGATCGCAACTGCTCCCACAATTTGCTCTCATAATTTGCCGGGCGGAAATTTAGTTTCAGATCTGGGACTAACTCGGACCATTTCGACCATTTATGTCTGTTTGCCAAGAACCATGTTCTAATTGAGCCATCAAAAAGGTTAACTGCTGAGTTCCAAAAATCAATTTCACTCAGGTTACTTGAATCAAAATTTAACTCTACTTCTCGCAAGAAAAGAGAAAGTGAAAGTTTTTGTTCATCGCCGTCATACTTCAAATTCCACTCCGAAACGGGAATTGTCTTAGCCATGACGCGTGAATTGACACAAATCGGGGGTAATCTACTTGGTATCGCGGTACCAGACGCAACATCAAATTGCATGGGCACCAAAAACATGTCATGAGAATTAATGTTCAAATCCATCTTTAAATCTCTGACTCTAAAATCGTGTTTACTCGGAAACAAACAACAAATGTGTCTTACTCTACAAAAGAATTTTTACACACGATCAAAATGTAAACTATTTACGAGAGGCCAACCTTGTTTTTCTGACAGATGTCAAGAATTTCTGACAAAAATTACTCTGCAAAATTGCTCACGCGGAATGCTAAAAATTACGCTCGCGAATTCCGACTCAAAAATGCACTACTAGAATTTGGTAAATTTCCCTGGAATTCTAAACTTTCGGAGACAAAGCACAGAATAGAATATTCTAGATCTCGCTGGATCACAAATTTTACTTTAATTTGTCAAATTAAATTGGGATTAAGTGAGTTGGGCGCCATATAACAACGACTTGTTAGACTCTATTTCAGGGATAGATCAGATCCTATTGATCGCAGGTTCGGCTTAATTTCCTCAACTTAATTAACTCAGACAACTTCGAAAACTAATTTCAGATCTTTCCAAGATGAAAACAAATCAAAATCGGCAGTTTGAAATGAATTAGAGAAAGATTTTATTTGATGAAAATTCAGTTCAAAATTATTTAATTAGAGAGAATAATGGAAAATCGGTAAATTAATTCAAATCACGAATATTATAAATTTGTATTGTTTGTGTAGGTAGGAATTAGGATGGGTAGGAAAATAATTGATTTTACAAATTATTTGAAAATAATGGATGAATGCACTCGGAGAAAATCACTCGAATATTACAAGTTCGATTTCTTGCACTCGGTACGGGGTTTTGTACTTGCTTTAATGATGTGAAGAGACGAGCAGGAATCTTGCAGAGAGCTGAACTGCGCTGGCTTGCAGTCAGGCTGGGGTTGCACAGGGTGCAGCAGAATGACCTCGGGAGTCAGGGTGACGGACTCCGATGAGCAGCGAGAAGTCACGCAATGGACGACGTGCACTTCGCTCCCAATTACGCCGGGACGGCTCTGCGTTGCCGGACCAGTTGATGGTGATCGAACGGCCCCGCAGGGCGCCTAGGGTGTGCGCGAAATTCGGTCAGTTTAATTTGCCTTACAAAAATCGGGGATGGAACGGTCAGAAGGCCGAACGGGTTATGTCGCTCTAAATTTGTAAAAGGGATTTTGTGGATAATTTCAACTTACGTTAGAAACTCCAACAATTCATTTGGAACCTCCAATTGACGAGAGGATTTCGGTCGCTCGCTCCTCGAGCGGCGCCGACTTTTGAGACTTGACGTCTGCAAGGCGACTGACACGAAAACCGCACGAGGCCAATGGCCTTTGCCCTTGGCACCTATGCTGCTGTTATCAGCTGGGTGTATTGCTGATTGAGAGGTGGGAGGTGTGTGTGTCGTGCTGCTCTGGAAGTGAAGCTGGTTGCATAAATGCAGGCGCTCACCGGCACACACACTCCGCTTTTCTTTCTTCTCTTTCTCTGCTTGCTGCTCTCGCAGTTACACACGGCACCAGAGTGAAATGATGATAAAGTCACACGCAAAATAAAAGGAAGGCAGGGTGTATTAGGGATGGATATATTTGTGTATTTCATAATTTTAATTAAATATCCCAATATTCCTTATAATACATTAAAAATTAAAAACAAAATAAAAGCAGATTTATCATTTTAGCCCAATTTTTCACTAATTTTACGTTCTCCAAGAGAGAGGAAGAGGTTTTATTTTGGAGATACGCCCCGCCGAAGGTCGGAAAAACAAAATGGCGGCCGAAATTTTTTATTTGCCCATCCTCCGTGGCCGACCCTCCTCCGTTGATGAGGTCCCGTCCAGGGGTGGTCGGACCACCCCTGAAAAACAAAATGGCGGCTGACTTTCATAATTTTTTCAATTTTTATCGTTCCGTCGGCCACGGCACCGCGCCCTCGGGGTCAGAGGTCCTCGCAGGGGTGGCCGGACCACCCCTGAAAAACAAAATGGCGGCCGAAAATTTTTATTTGCCCATCCTCCATGGCCGACCCTCCTCCGTTGATGAGGTCCCATCTAGGGGTGGTCGGACCACCCCTGAAAAACAAAATGGCGGCTGACTTTCATAATTTTTTGAAATTTATCGTTCCGTCGGCCACGGCACCGCGCCCTCGGGGTCAGAGGTCCTCGAAGGGGTGGCCGGACCACCCCTGAAAAACATGGCGGCCGAAAATTTTTATCTGCCCATCGGCCGTGGCCGACCCTCCTCCGTTGAGTAGGACCCGTCCAGGGGTGCCAGGACGCGATATTCCGAACCCCACATCAATTGGGCGCATTGTGTGGAATTCGCGCTCAAATTCAAAATTCCCAGAGTTTGATCATTAAAAAATCAGTCAAGAAAGCGATAGAATTGAAAAAAAATATTTAATTGACACTGAATGAAAATAATGTGTCTTTGAAAATTAATTTGAACATTTTAGAACAACAAATCTTCATATAAAGCGTTCTAGTTGGAAAGTTTACAGATATTTTATCGTTGACCACACAATACAGCTGGAGCACGCACAACAGCTGGGTGCTGGGTAAACAAATACACGGACGAAACGCTGTGCAAAATATTGTTTCGATTTAGATCAACTTAACACTATAATTGAATTTTCTCACAAAACCTATAATGATATTTTTTGAGGTATGTATAATTATTCATATTATTAATTATTTTTTTTTTTAAATATCTTTAATTTTTTTAATTAATTTGTTGTTAAATGATAATTTTTTTAAATAACTAAAATTACTCCTGATACTTTTCACTATTTTACTACATAAACAAAAATGAAAAGGTTTTTTGAAAAACAGTTTTAATTTATTCAAAAGCTATTTATTAAACTAGTGTGATTTGGCGTTTGCTACATTTTCTCGAACAGCTTGACTTAAATTTCTTTGTCTCTTAGGCTGACTGACTAAAGATGGAGTCACCTTTCTTTTGCCTTGGTTTGTTGTGGATTTCTGCACCTCTGGTGTATTGTGTTGCTTGATTTTTGGTGGACGGCCTTGTGGAACTTGAGCAGCACCTTTCGAAACACCCTCTCGTCTTCTTGCTCGCCCACTTGACTGAATGGGAATTCGTCCACTTCGTGAGCAGACAGAACCAATCTGCCGATAGATGGCAACAATGGAAGCTGTGGCAGCAGGTGCACTCTTCGGTTTGTTCAAAGCCTTACTTAACTTTCTTAGCAATTCGTTTGATGCATCAGTTTTGGCCAACTCGATCAAGCTGGCAAATGCATCTTTGCACTCATTCACCAAATCTTCTTTCTCAGCCTCATCAAAAGGATCAAGGTCTTGTTCTTCACTATGAATTTCGCATGCGTGAAGCTCTTCGTCAAATTCCACTTGTGCATCCGACACAAAATGAGCAACTATTGTTAAAGAAATTATATATTTTAAAATATTTTATTGTTTTTACATTAACCAACCATCTAAATTTGGCTCCTTTTCAGTTGGATCAACTTCTGTTCGGCCTAAAAAGAATTTCAAGTCAGGGCATTTGCTGCCGAGGGCCAAGCGAGCAAGTTCGAGTCGATCGCCACTAAGAAGTGGAGGAGCCGAGGGAGATGTTGAAGTATTTAACAAGCAGAGATTGGTGTTTGCAGAATGCACCACCCTCACCAACTGGACAGGAGCACACACCAATCTTTGAATGGACTTCATAAAAGGTGCCTGAATATGTTTAAATTATTAAAAATTTAATTATGTAATTGTTACCAAATTCATAAATGGTTTCTTATGTAGACAAATTTTGACATTGATTTTTTTTTCAATTGGAATTTTTTAGGTCCCCAACACTTGTTTTAAATTAAATTCATAATTTATTAATATTTACCATTTCTGTTAATAAGAATTTTTTTCTTTTCATTCGTCAGAACAAAAGGCCAAAAGTAAACAAAAGGATTGATAATATTTGGTGCAATTGCAGTATGATCAAGTGCACGTGTATTGTGGAGTCAACAATAAAATATCTGTAAACTTTCCAACTAGAACGCTTTATATGAAGATTTGTTGTTCTAAAATGTTCAAATTAATATTCAAAGACATATTATTTTCATTCAGTGTCAATTAAATATTTTTTTTTAATTCTATCGCTTTCTTGACTGATTTTTTAATGATCAAACTCTGGGAATTTTGAATTTGAGCGCCAATTCCACACAATGCGCCCAATTGATGTGGGGTTCGGAATATCGCTGCCAGGACCACCTCTGAAAATCAAAATGGCGGCTGACTTTCAAAATTTTAAAAATTGAACTTGCATGGTAATTCTGCAAGTTATTGCACGTTCCAAGGCGGGCTCGGACGGATTTAGCTCGTTCCCCGAAGGGAACCACGCAAATTCCGCGATTCATAATAATATATTGTTTTTCTTTTTTGCACGTTCCCAATGGGCTAGGATCGATTTTGCACGTTCCTCCGTTTCAACGTGAGAACTTACTATATGACGTAATTATGATTAATAACCTTTTGCACGTTCCGACGAGGGAACCGCGGGACATATAATACTTTTTAATTATGTTTATCATTTTACTCATTTTGCAACTTCAGGGCTTTAATATATTATCTTGCATGGTAATTCTGCAGGTTATTGCACGTTCCGTGACGCTCGGATGGATTTTGCTCGTTCCACGCAGGGTACCACGAGATTGATAATTATATATTGTTTTTCTTTTTTGCACGTTCCGCGATGGGGTAGGGTCGATTTTGCACGTTCCTCCGTTTCAACCTGAGAACTTACCATAGGACGCAATTATGATTAATAACCTTTTGCACGTTCCGACGAGGGAACCGCGGGACTTAGATTACTTTATAATTAAATATTAATCATTTTACTCATTTTGCATCTGCAGGTCTCTTATAAATTATACTTCCAAGGTAATTCTGCAAGTTATTGCACGTTCCTCGGTGGGCTCGGATTGATTTGGCACGATCAACGGAGGGAGCCACGGTTAAAATCTGATTACTAAACTTCATGCGCGTTCCAAGGAGCGACCGGGGGACTTCGTCGATAAATTATAGGCGAAATTCAAAAAACACAAACCGCAAGTCCATACACAAAGTCGCTTAAAAAACTTAAATATATTAAATTTAAATGTCCGCGGTTTGAAAACACCAGATAAATTTACCGATTTTGAAAATTTTATTCGAAGCTTGCAAGTACGCCCAGATTTAATAGTAATAACTGAACATTGGCTTGACTCATGTGAAATTAAAACCTTTCATTTGGAGGGTTACGATCTAGTAGCTTACTTTGGCCGAAACATAAAAAAGTTTGAAAGAGGTGGAGTACTTATCTTAAAAAATAAACTTCTGAAAGCTACAGCAAAAAATATAAAAATTTTTTCTAAAGAGATGTTTTTTGAATTCTGTGCAAGCAAATTGATAATGCAGTCCGAAAATCTTAATATTATTGGTGTCTATCGGCCGAGTAATCCAAAGTCAAATAGTAAAATTCCAGAATTTCTTGAACATATTGATTCAGTTCTTATGCAAAACAGGTTTTGTGGTCATACAATATTAGCAGGAGACTTTAATATCGATCTGATGGTTAATGACGACAATTGTATAAAACTTAAGGAAATCGTAAAATTACATAACCTAACCTTGCTAAATGAAAATAAAATAACTAGAGTAAATAAAAATGGGGGAACCTTACTAGATCATGTTTATGCAAATTTTAACTTGGAGAGCACATTTAACATAATTCCAGTTTTGTTCTCAGACCACAGTGCTGTGTCAGTATCAGTTAAACTGCCAGTAGAGAAAATTAAAGACACTTTCAAATATATAAGAAGTTACACTGAAGATAATTATCTGAATCTTTTCTCCCTCCTTGAACAAGAAAGTTGGGAGCAAGTTTTCCAGGCCAGTTCAATAAATGAAAAAAGTGAAATTTTTATGGGCATTCTCGTAAAATATTTTGAAAACTCTTTCCCCTTAAAACGAGTTATTATCAGGGCAAATCAAATCGGTAAAATTAAATGGACAGATGATACGCGGAAATTACAAAATAAAATTATTAATTTAAGTCAAGAAATAAAATCAAATTTAGATCACATGGTCAAAGCTGAACTGAAGCTAAAACTGAAACACATGAAGAAGGAAGTTGTTAATAAAATTCAAATAGAAACGAAGCAAGTAAATGATAGGAAAATTGCAACATCTAAAAATAAATCCAGTGCAGCGTGGAAACTTATAAACAATAAATTAGGGAAAAGTAAAAATTCAGAGTATATTGACGAATTAAATATAAACGGTGCTAAAGAATCAATTAAACTTAATATCGCCAATTGCCTGAACAATGCATTTGTTGAACCAGAGCCTGACCTAAATAATATAAATTTAGCTGATTGTTCCAAAGTGACTGATAACCTTTGTAATATGGTACAAGAATTACAGTTTTTTGAGGAGTTTGAAATATATAGTATAATAAATCATCTCCCATCTAAAAATTCATCTGGGTGGGATGGAATTTCAACCACTGTACTGAAAAAAATTTCAATGTATATTACTGCGCCTCTTACTTATTTAATAAACGAGTCATTCCTAAAAGGTAGTTTCCCCGATAATATGAAACTTGCTAAAATTATACCACTGTTTAAAAAGGGCGAAAAAGAAAACCCTTCAAATTATAGACCAATTGCGATAACATCATCAATATCAAAAGTATATGAGAAAGCCTTTTTATATAGATTGGAAAACCACTTGAACACTAATAATATCCAAATACCTGAGCAACATGGATTTAGAAAGGGAAAAAATACTGTAACGGCCTTATATAGTTATGTAACATCTCTGTACGAATCAGTTGAAGCAAAAGATAAAGTGAATGTTATCTTGTACGATTTCTCTAACGCATTTGGCACCCTTCATCCACCTCTCCTTATACATAAGTTAAAACAATACGGTCTAAACGAGAACTTGCTCTCGTGGTTGGCCTGCTTCTTATCAAATAGGAAACAATTTGTACAGCTCAAGAACCTTGGTTGTGATAGGTACGAGGAGTTTATTAACTCGGATATATTAGAGAGTAACAGGGGTGTGCCGCAAGGCACAGTTCTCGGCCCAATTGGGTTTTCTATGTATTTAAATGATATTCCTCTCGCTGTGTTCTTGGCCCTCCTGATTTTGTTTGCCGACGACTCCACGGCTATAGTCAAGGGAGAGTCTTTCCCTGAGGTAAATACTAAAACGGTGGCTGTAAATGACAGTTTTGTCGGTTTTGCTAATGATAATTTTTTGAGGATAAATTCAGAAAAATCTAAAATACTACAAATACATACCAGCCAAACAAAAAATCTTGTTCAACCTGATGTTAAAATTGAATATAAGAGTATAGAAATATGTAAAACTGGTAAACTCTTGGGAGTACAAATTAATGATACACTTAACTGGAATGATCACTGTGATAAGGTTGTCAATAAAATGAGAGGAGTCTCTCATGTGTTCACTAGACTGAAATACAAGGTGTCAGATAACATTCTAAAATTGATCTATTTTTCACACGTTCAGAGTCATATAATGTATGGGATTGTAATTTGGGGGGGTTCTAGTCATTTAATCAAAGTATTTAGAGCGCTTTTATACGTTATTTCTTTTCCTTCTCTTCAATTTATTTAAATTAAAAAATGAAAAACAAATTAGAGTCCCACAACTACATTCCGAAAATGCTTGCGTTTAACGCAAGTGCGAAGCGCTTGTTATTATTATACCAAACTAAAACCGGTTTTTTCGAGAAAACACAAGGGTGAAAGTCAAAAATCCTGACCAAGTAAATCAGCCAGCTGTGCGCCTTCGCGAGACGCGTCCGAATCACCATAGGACCATTGGTCGCATTCCCATAGAAAAAAAGCCTTAGGCTTTTGAAATTTATGCAAAACGACCTTGCAATGCTTTTCTTATGGGAGAATGGGCAAGCAGACGCCGGCGGCCGCCGCGGCCGTTCTAGTGGTCGGATTTTCGTTTTTCGAACACCAAAATGAAGCTAATTTTTGGGCCGATTTTTCCAGGGGTCGCCCGACCCCACCGCGGCCGAATTGCCGATTTTTCGGCAAAAAAATTTTCTTATGCGATTTAACATGGGTTTTCGCTCGACGCGAATCGGGTCGCTCGAGGCGGGCCCAGGGCGGCCCACCTGCGGTCCCACGGCCGAAATTCGTCACCCGCGGCTTAATTCGGCCGGCCGCTGATGAAATAAGCACGAATCGCGGGGTTCCGGCGAATTTTATTAACACGCGGCGCCTCCGAGTTTCGTCCGTCGCTTCGCTAACTCGAGGCCTGTGTTATTCTTATGGGGGAAAAAAGCAAACGCGCGAGGCCGCCGCGGCCGTTCTACTGGACAGATTTTCGATTTTTAAAAAGCAAAATGAAGCTAATTTTTGGGCCGAATTTTCCAGGGGTCGCCCGGCTTCGCCGCGGCCGAATTGCCGACTATTCGGCAAAAATCTTTTCTTATGGGTTTTAACACGCGCTTTTGCTGCAGACGAGACGTAGTGATCACCGCGGGCCCAAGGTGGCCCCCCGGGGGCCCCTAGGCTGAAATTCGTCACCCGCGGCCGAATTTGGCCGACGGCGGTGGTAAAATGGATAAATGCGAGTTTTTTGAGAATTTTTGTGCGAATTCTCGGCTTATGGCATTTTACATGTGTTTGCGCTCGGAAAGGGTCGGAACGCGTATTTACGAAATCCAATCTGTTTGGGCACCGCGATTTTTACCAACCATTCATTGGCAAAATAGTTCAGT